CTCCAATTTATTATTATTATACTATTGTAGTTTTCTTTCTTCCTTTTTTTTTTTTTTAATATTGAATCGTGAGACTTTATTTTGATTAACATTTAAATATTCATTTTGATTAGATTCCTTTTAACAGAAATAGAGAATCACCATAGGATACTCATTGGTGTGGAAAAGTGACAAATTAGGATTTTAGAGGAAGTTCAGTAATGATTAAATACATTTTTAATTATTGTCACCTTTCTAGCAAGCTTGTTTGTAACGCCATGTTTCTTTAATGCCATTATAAGATATCGATTGAGAAATAGTATTGCCAGTAATTCATGACGTTCGAATTAACACATTCGAAGAATTTTTCCAAAAATTGTGAAAAACAGATTTCCTGTTTGCATATACTTTCGATACGAATATTGTCGTCAGTGTATGTGCACACACAACCATTTTGAATCTCGTTGCTTTTTTTACCATCGTTTTTTTTTTTTTTTTTCGTATTTGTCGAAATCGATATCCACCATCTTGAATTTTTAATTTCACGAATGCGTTGAAAGTAGTATTAATCGAAGTTTTATCCATTTTAGGGAGAGCTCTCTTCTCGTTAAGAACAATGTCACGTCAGATCGTTCGATTCAAGGCGTAACCACGACCATAGCCCACGAATTCACCCATCAATGGTTTGGAAATCTCGTCAGCCCGAAATGGTGGAAGTACATTTGGTTGAACGAAGGATTCGCGGATTATTTCCAATATTTCATCACTCATAAGGCGAGTATTAACAAAGGTGGCCAAGTATTTTACATTTCATATTTGCGAATACGTTATTTTTATACATTATTTTTGCATGCCATTTAACAAACGATGCAATAAAAATAAAATTCGATATAACACGAAGCGAAGATATTTGCGAAAAGTATTTCACGTGTAATTTATCCAAGGATCTATCTAAGTTGAATCCTTATTTTTAATTCGTTTCATAAATATCGTATCTATTTATAGTTGATTCTGATTAATATTTTCGTTAGATTCTGCCCGATTGGCGATTAGACGAGGTATTCGTTGTGGACAATACGCAGGGGGTCGCTTTCGTTACGGATGCGGGTACAAACACACGACCCATGAACCAGGACGCGACCACGCCCGCAGAAATCAGTAAATTGTTCGACAATATCGCGTATCAGAAGTGTAAGTGAAACGACAAAGGTTTATAAGAGCGATTAAAATTTATTTTCGACGCGTACAAATTAATCAGCAGGAAAATATTTACGTAGCTCGAGTTTGATCGAGATCGATACGAGATTCTATTTTATATTATTTTTAATAATGGAATTTTACTTGGAATTTTACTTCGAAGCAATGGAATCGACTTTTAATTGCTCTTATTTTATTCTTCATCTTTGTCCATTTCTTTATATTTTATTTTAATAGGATGTTCATCCTCTTGCACGTGAAAAATATTTTCAAAAATATTTGAAATTTTCATTTGGAAGGAGGACGAAAAAAATGTTGACAACTTGAAAAAGATTTTCTATTCGAAAATAAAAAAAAAAAATTTTCTACGTGATTATACAACGTTGGAGAGATATTAAGACAAAGAGATATTATTACAAAGGCACGAGTCATTGGTTTTAACATCAGATAAAAAAAAAAAAAATATATGTGTGAACAAACACGTTATTAGCTTCCAATAATTTCCATTTATTGATCAACGTTACGAGATAATATGTAACATATCTTATCAATCGGTTAATACATTTAATCTTGAAACTAAATATTATCAGACGACGAAAAGTCGAGAGTTATTGTTTCATAGATCTATTTATTATTCTAGAATAATAGTTATTCTAGAGAATAGAATCATTGAATCGATACAGAAAATGTCACGATTGTGTCTTTCTCTCTCTTTTAATCTGATCATTTAAAATATATATGTATAATTGTCTAGTAACTTGGAAAGAAAAAGACGAACGACTTAAATAATATCTATCGATAATTATAAATTATAAGAACATTTGATAAATGAAAGATTTAATGATTCGAAAGATAATAATTTAATTTTTCTTAATTTGAGATTTATGAAAATAGATTTTATTGCGTTACATAAAATGTTTAACGACACGTTGTTGTCAATACGAAATGATAAAGATGAAGAGTATTTTATGCCAATGTAATAAGTGGATTATTTAAACACAATGAGACGTTACAGGCATGATAATAATTGATAAAGGGAGGCTAATTTCTGTTTGGAATTCTGTTTGAAATTTGAAAAGTAAAATTTATTAGATTTAGAGAGGATTTTTAGATTGTTGCAATAAATAAAATAATTTTTATAGGAAAAAAAATCGAAGAAAAAATCAATAATCAAAATTTAAAATGTATTTCGCGTTGAAAAGTCTTGCATTTTAAAAATTCCTTCCATAATTGTTGAAAAAAATGCTGCAATTATAATTTGTTGTTAATATAATAATAATAATTTTTCTATTTAAAAATTCCCTGTACAACGATCAATGATTTTTCTTTTAAAGAATCGAATTTGAGAAAAAAAGAAATAAATATTCGAAATATTTAACCGTGAAACAATCGAATATATGAAAATGACGAATTTTTCGTTTTATTATAAAAAAGAATACAGATATTTTTGGAAAAAATTAATATATCGAATCGAGATATAATATGCCATTCGTACATAAATAAATAAATAAATACACGTTTTTACACGAAATAAATTCGATAAAAACGTATATGCGTGATGAGGGAAATAAATTAAATGACAATGATAATAAAATTAATAATTGCTTCATTCGGAAGCTTCGATTAAAAATTAAATGCAGAATCGTAATAAGAAACAGCAATCATTCATAATATTCTTTACAGCTGGAGCGGTTATTCGAATGATGTCGCACATTTTGGGGCTTGAAAATTTCCAAAAAGGCTTGAGGGAATACCTGAATAAAATGTACGTATATTAACACTTAGGGGAAAAAAGGGAAAAAAAAGCGAATTAATTCTCCTATTTTTGTTATTTATTATTTCACTCGAAAAATATTAATTGTAATATAGATAAATATCAAATCGAATATTATTATTATTCTTATTATTACTTGGAATATTTTTCTTTATTATTCATCGTGATCATCGCTCGTGATCACGAATTATTCTCTCTTACGAGTGTAATAATAATTACAGGAAGTACAAAAATGCCAATTCGTCGGATCTTTTCAAATATCTTGACAAAAACGGGAAGGAGAATTTGCCCAAGAATGTAACGTTCGAACAACTTATGGACGAGTGGGTGAACAAGCCGGGATATCCGGTGGTGAACGTTGTGAGGAAAGAGAAGGTGTACGAGATATCTCAGAAACGATTTTTATTGTACAAAAGTGGAAATGATACGAAATGGTGGGTGCCGCTCACTTATTTCCGTTTGTCCAATATTAACGAAACAACATTGCCAAAATTATGGTTGAGCCCGAATGACGAATTCGTGAAAGTCGATGTTAAAGAAGGGGATGGAATTATTTTCAACGCGTTGCAGACAGGTGAGCGATCCAACAGTGCGTCCACTTAAAAATATACGGTGTCTCGTTTCACTTTGATATCTTGACTTTCTTATTATTACATTATTTAATATCTTGCACGAGATATTTTTTATTTTCATCTTTATATCATTTTTATCACCTATCTATTTCTTCTATTCGTTCAATTTTGTACACTTGTTTTTTGATTTTTTGTTATATTCAATTTCGAAAAATTTTGAATCGTTTTTTTCCTCCTCCCAGGTTATTATCGCGTGAATTACGACAAGGAGAACTGGAAATTGTTAAACGATTACTTGAACTCGAGCAATTATACCAAATTGAGCCCCATAACGCGAGCTCAGTTGATCGACGATGCTTTAAATTTGGCGCGCGTTAACCAACTCTCTTACGACGTAGCGTTGAATCTCACGTTGTACCTTCACAAAGAAGTGGATTACATGCCTTGGCAAACGACATTTAGGAATTTGAACTTCTTGAATATCATGATGCGAGCCTCCGAACATTATCAAATGTTCAACGTACGTATTTGTGAAATTTATTACACATCTTCGTCCAATAGATAATAATGAATATCGATTGCTCGATAACTGTAGAGATTCGTATGCTGCGGATTTGTTTATAGGAAGTTTGAATTTCACAACAGATTTATAAAGTGCATATTGATATAAAATAATATCAACAACGAAGTATAGTATTTATTATGATGATAAATTAACAATATATGTCTATTTAAATTTCATTTTCAATTTCTAATTGCGTCACTTTCAAAATTTTGAATTTGCACAAATAACCGCAGCATATTATTTATAATTTAATGAACAAATCGATGGATAAATAGATTTTATTTAGGCATGAATATATCAACACTCTGTACATTTTTTTCTTTTTCATTCAAAACGAATAAAACGCTTACAGACTTATGTTACCTGGCTAATGAGATCCCTGGTGGAAAAAATGGATTACAAACCTAAATCGAACGACGATCATTTTACGAAAATTCTTAGACCGACCATAATGTATTGGGGTTGCAGAGCTGGCGTTGAAAATTGCGTGGATTACGTCAATAATGAATTTAATGAATGGTTGAACGATTCTAAGAAAGAGTAAGTTAATTTATTTCTATTCTTATTCATTTAATTCTTTTAAATTTACTTTTTGTTGATTGAGCTTATCAATTCAACGCATGTCTTTATATCTATTATCTACTTATTTTATTTGAATTGATCTATTTGAAAAAAAATACTATTCTAACGTACAGCATTCTCCATGAATATAAATTTATTTCTAAATTTATACAAAATTTATAAAAATATACATATATAATATGTTTTCTATCGGTTTCCTCCTAATTTTCTACTGTCTGTTCACTATTTATGTTATTTAAATTTTATTAAAATTTCTCGTATATAATATTAAAATAAATAAGTGTAATTCGATAAAAATTTTATTTTACAGACTCGATGCCAATTTGAAGAACAATATTCTCTGTGCCGGTCTGAGAAATTCAGACTCGGAGGCATGGGACCGTACTTGGAACGTTGTGAAAAATATAATGGACGAAGATGAAAGGAACAATTTATCACCAATCTTGGCTTGTTCGAGCTCGTCTGAAGTTTTGGAGAAATATTTATTGCAAACCCTCGAAACAAATTCCTCGTTGTCTTTCTCGACCGTGTATCGAAACATCATAAACGAACATCCGATGGGTGTCGATATCGTTTTGAAAGTGCTCAATGACAAATACAAATCACTGTAATTAACAATACTGTCTTATTATACGTATAATGAAAATTATTGTAAATATGTTATAATTTATACTTATGTATATATATTTCTTTCTTTTTTTTTTTAGAAACAAAACTGAACATAACCTCAAATCGTATTTAGATATAATCGCGAACAGCGTTACAACTAAAGAACAACTTGAAAAGGTAATAATTTATTTTATCAACGAGTTGAATTTTAGCAATTAATAATAACTTCTATTATTAATCTAACTTCTATTATTAATCTAATTAATAATAACTTATTTAATTTTTTTAATTTACAGTTATTGAACCTTATCTGGAAAGAGGGATTGCAGGATAATCAAGCGAATATGATGCTGAAGGCAAATAGTAACATAGATTGGCTCGAGCATAACAAAAAATCGATCGAAGAATGGCTGCACGAACGAAATTCTTCATCCGGTTTGGTAGCGTTCGCTTCGATGATTATATTGTCAATATTTGTTACTCGATTTTATTAAGAATATATTGAGAATCAGGTCGTTGCGAACGAATTATGAGAATAAAAATGCAAATCAACTATTGAAATAAATTTACGATGATCTTCTTGTACAGTATACATTAATACAATAGCGACATGTTGGACAATGTTGTTCAGAATGACAAAATTCGTAAGAATTTGAAAATATATTTCAATATAACGCGATTATTTAAATTAGGCAATTGTAAATAATGTAGAAAATATACGTGGAAAATATATTTTTATATTATGTTATACGTAACATGTGAACGCAATAAAAAGTAGAAATTCAACGTTAAAAATTTAAGTATTTTGATTTTTGTACAAATTAAAAAAATAATTATAAATTGGAAGAAATTGTCCTTTATTCTCTAAGAATGATTTAAGATAAAATACGATACGTTATATTTTTAAAAAAAAAGAATAAAATAGAAGTGTGCTCAATTAAGCGCGCCCGTATTTTATTAGTGGTTACGCGCCAAGAATAAAACAGACAAGGAGAGTAAATAATGAGAGAAGAACAGAGATAGGATAAAAATATGGAAATCAGCGCCATCTTTAGAGTGCCGCAAATGAAACTCAATATATAAGGACAGAAACTGTTAAAAAAGGATAGAGATAGGATAAGAATTAACCATTAGCGCCATCTCTTGAGTTTTGGAGATATCTTTTCGAAGAATGATTTTCGAAGCAATTAAGAGATGGCATTACATTTTAATTCTTATTCTACCTTACCCTCATCTCGAAAGATATCTCTAGCACTCGAGAGATGGCGTTGACAATCAATTCTTATTCTATCTCTATCCTTGTCCTACTATTTCCTATCCTTATTTATTGAGTTTCATTTGCGGCACTCTGAAGATGGCGCTGATTTCCATATTTTTATCCTATCTCTATCCTTCTCTTACTATTTGCTGTCCTTATTTATTGAGTTTCATTTGGCATACTGAAGATGGCGCTGATTTCTATATTTTTATCCTATCTCTATCCTTCTCCTATTAACTATTTCCTTGTCTATATTTACTAGCGCGCGTATCACGAATGAACCAGGAGCGAATTACGAGATTATTCGAATATTTAATTTGTAATCGCTTTATATATAAATTATACTTTTTTTAAATATTTGAAATAGTCGAATAGATGAATAATTATAAAAAATTCAAAAAATTGAAAATATATTTTACCTTTCTTATAAGAATAGGATATAACATACAAACGTTATTCACACAATTTTTTTATAAGAAAACAGAATAATTTATCATTTATCATCTGGTCTGTCAAGTATAATATTGGAATCGTTAAAAGTAAAAGAAATTAGTCTCTGGTAATCAATTGCTGATATTTTATTACTAAAAATTCTTAAAATTATAATTAATTATAATTATTAAAATATAAATTACAGATACATAGTATTCAAAAAATAGAGGGAATCATACGATTGAAATGGCTTTTTCATTCCGATATCTCAATTCGTTGTCAAGATATAAGGATAAAAGTGACCTAGCGTTTATTAACATGGTGCAGAGAATGCGAATAGGACCACGATTCACTGACCTACACTTTTTCTTGGAAATTGGACGTCTTTCCAAGAATTACGTCTGTCGCTTGTCTACAGTTTGGGATAGGTCAATGAGACGAGGTGCGAGCGAGAGATCCGAGTAAGTAACAAGGACGGAGATAATAAATGATCAAAAATTACCCTTTTTTTAAGCGACGATATCTTCGGAACCGGAAGTCGTAGCGGGATAAATGAAAAACAGTTTTAAAGGGGAAAGTTCCACGCTTCTAATGATTTTTCACTGGTTGACCGAAAGTCATTATTTTCAAAGATATAGCGATTCAAAATTTTCCTAATTTTAATAAGGTTTTATCGAGTTTTATGATAAATTATGTGATAAATATATTTACTTCTGGAAGAATATTGCTTACAACGATTTTGATAATGGTACATTGAAGATTTAAAATTAATTTAAAAATTTCTTTATCTGGATTTTTGTTTAATTACTATATTGATTATTTAAATAGGTTTTGTGGATTCTATCGTTTTTTTAATATAAAAAATATATATTTGCATGAGAATTCGCAATCTAGTCATTAATAATTACAAATGATCATAGAGAGATACAATATTGCAATAAAATTTCAATAATCCTTACTATTATTTTACTTTTAATAATTTTTCTTGCAATTTTTATAATCCATATTCTAAAATACAGATAAAAAATTACATTTATTTATTCTTTTTTTTAATAATTAATAGGCTATTACAGAATGATCTACGATGATATCAATTGGATAAAGATCGCCTCTTATCTTCAATTCGAGAATTTCTCCAAGATTCATGTGTTGAATCGTGTCCAAATAATCAACGAAATTAATCATTCAAAAGTAATCAAAAGTATCGATCTATTGATATTTTTAGAAAATATACTTATCTCGTGAAATAGATTATATTCCTTATTCATTCTAGTTTCTGATATACGATATTGTAAAATTTCAATCATCGATCAGTTCTATCAAATGTAAACGTTATTATCAAATTAATGATTTGCAAAAATTTCTACAAAGAATAAAATGCCTCCTCGAATATTATCTATACAATACACTTATGTATGATTTTAAATTTGGGAAAAATTTCTGTTTTAGAAATAGAATAGAAAAAATTTAATATTTTGGGAAGTTCAAGAATCTATTCATCCTCTGTTTCATCTAAATCATTTCCTAATTAATATTTCATCCTATTTTCTGATCCTATAATAAATTGCATAAAACTGCTCTTAATTAAATCTTATCAAGAAAATTAAGGATAATTAAGCATTTAAATTTAATACCAAGGTTGCATCGCATGAACGATAAACGCCATCCATCGATATAGATTTGAAACAAAGCTAAAATTATTAGAAATTAATAAAAAAAAAAACTGTTATTTGTACGATATTATTGAAATCTCATGGACAATAATCTTACATTTCGATGTAAAAAAGCATTTAATCGTATAATATCACAAGTTTGCTCGAATATATTCCTTCTCTTCGATACAGCTTAAACAGCTTACTCGTGCTATTCGTGGCAATCGCGTGGAAAAGTTTTTTAATTGACATTTCAAACGTTTTTCATTCTAGCCAGACTAATAGAACTTATTTTCGATATCCTTATCTGGAAAATCAACAGCCAGGATCAACTAGATAAGGTAATTCTGACTTGATAATATTATCTTATTATCGAAGCAAAACTACATTTTACATGTGGATTAAACAAATCATAATTATCTTTCGTTTTTTTTAGATTGAGGACTTTTTTGCGAACGATTAACAAAGGATTCCGATATTATATTATCATGTGTGTGAAAAAAATTGAAAAAAGTAATCAAGAAAATTGTATCGATCATTTCAAATAAGAAATATTATATAAAGCAAAATGTATAAAAATAGCACTGAAGCGTTGGTAATATTTTTAATTAAATTACAATCGTTATTTTATTACTTTCTTTTTTACAATTTTGATAAGAACAATAATTCAATATTCTGCAATAAAAATTAACAAAAATATACGAATTTAAATATATTTTCTTTAATGAAATTTCTTTAAAAATAATTAATTGTTACGAATTGTTATGAAATATTTTTCTTTTGAAAATATCTTTTCAATCTTCGATTTTAAGGATTATTTTCATTTGTTTAAGAGGGATATAAGAAACAAATATAATATGATAAATAATTTTACAAAAATTATACTGTCATACGTAATATACGTTATATGATAAAATTGATGATTTATACTATGTAATTAATATGAATTGGATGTAATAAAAGAGAGAAATATTGTAAAGTGTATTACAATCATTTTTTAATTATTTCGTAAGATTATTTATTTATAACAATCAATTAATGTCGATACAAATCTTTTAATTCGATTTAATCTTACTGTGAGACCAAGTAATATAAAATTTTTTCAGCAAATAAAACGAACTAATCAAAAAAAAAAAAAAGTATTTCTATTTGGTCGCGTATAGATTTCAATTAATTTTAAATTTAAAAATTATATATTACGATATCTATGTATGATACTTTCCAAAGCAAGAGAGAAAGAAAATTATTTCTAATACCGTTAAAGATACATTTCACGTTTATTCATCGTTTATTCATTTAATCATCGTTTATTTATCGAAATTGCATTTATCAGAGTTAATTCAACATCGCTAGTTATTTAACATCGCTAATCTATTTTCTTATAAAATGAATTTCAAGATTACGAGATTAAAAGAGAAATGAAGATAAAATATTGTATTTATTAAAATATTCTTCTTTTCCAAAGCTATACATATATTGCCATTTGTATCAAGATTTTTTTATTTGCACATGATCATTAATTTCCAATGTCGTGTACAATTTAATCTAATGATAAATCTAAATGGACAATTGAGTTAATGAAGTGCGACCCATCTGATTTTATTATTGATATAAAAATTAAAAATTGTTTTCTGGAAGGATATTTACATTAGAAACTTCGATAAATATCGTAATTTAATTTGATTCTTTAATGTTTCTCGAGATAGAAATCGAAATTTATTATTTATAATTGTCAACGAACTATTCTATATAATTACGAAACAACTTCGATAATGCGTAATTTTGATGATCATTAAGCAGATCTTAAGAGATAAATTACGACATTAATTTTCAGATTACGAAATATATATAATATATAACGAAATAAATAATACACTTTTCCAAATCTCGTATTTATAAAATATTTGTTCATGATCATGAAAACGAAGATATTCATCTCGAATCTTTAAATATTGTAGTTTAATTATTATTATTAATATTAAGTTTCTATCAATCCTTTTGCAAAATTATAAAATTTAATACATTAAATTGTGAAAAAAAGTAATAAATTTAAATCTTCAATAGAATCACTAATTACATTAGTTACATCAACGTTAAACTATATTATTAAATATAGTTTAATATCAATGATATATCGATAAATGAATTGAGA